CTGATGGGGGACGGTCACCTGGCAAATAATCCCAGATATGAGCATCATGTGTTAAAGGATAATTTATAGAATGTTTTCTTTTCGCCATCAGCATTCATGAATGTCGTTTGAATTTATGAGCGCAAGGTTACCATAGATATGCAAATTGCATAACTTTTATTGGTGTCCGATTCAAGTTAACTCACAGCGCTGCACATGCGCATTGAAATGTCATTTCACTTTTATTCTTATTCATTTAGCTGTAAAAATTGACAATAAAAAGGTAATTTTAATTGTATTTTCAATAGGAAAATTATTTTTAGTGACAGTATTAATTTTTTATTAAAAGGGAGACAGCTGGAGAGCCACATATTTTTGTTCAAAGAGCCACTTGTGGCTCCCGAGCTACAGGTTCCCTTCCCCTGTTTTACACTGTTGATGCCCTTTCATTTGATACCAATAAAAAGCCCCTTGGTTCAACCAAGACTCGAACCTGCAACCTTCTTGCTGTGAGGCAACCATGCTAACCACTTTGCCACAAAGTTTAAAGTCAAGTAAAAAAAAAAAAATAGTAAATTCATGTGAACAAATTCATTCCTCAAAGCAAATTAAATTGATAAACAACCTCAAGAGATCACAACTATCACTTTTTATTCATTTTCCTTCAGCTTAGTCCCTTTATTCATCAGGGGTAGTCACAGCGGAATGAACCACCAACTTATCCAGCATATGTTTCTTAAAGATACAAAAGCAAGCAAACAACAACAATACAAGAGATCGTCAGTCCATTCATTCATTCATTTTCCTGCGGCTTAGACCCTTTATTCATCAGGGGTCGTCACAGTGGAATGAACCGCCAACTTATCCAGCATATGTTTTACACAGCGGATACCTTCCCAGATGCAACCCAGTACTGGGAAACACCCATACACTATCACATGCACACACACATTTATGCGCTATGGCCAATTTAGTTGATCAATTCCCCTATAGCGCATGTGTTTGGACTGTGGGGGAAACCAGAGCACCCGGAGGAAACCCACACACACAGGGAGAACATGCAGACTTTTAGCATCACAGAAATGGCAACTGACCAAGACGAGGCTCAAACCAGTAACCTTCTTACCGTGAGGTAACAGTGCTAACCATTAGCCGCACAATCTTTTTTTAGCAATAAAATTTATAGATAACTGTATCTTCCCAACACTGCTCAAAAATAAAGGCTGAAATTGTCTGTTTTCACACAGAACAACCCGTTTCAGTTCCCCAAAGAACCCGTAATGTATGAAGCATATTTCTATTATGTGAAGAACATTTGAATCATCTAAAAATCCTTATTCCAACATAAAGACCTCCTCTGGAATTGAAAGGTTTGATGTAAATGTTAAAAGTTCATCATGGAGCCACTGATGCCAAAAAAGATCCTTTATTTTTAAGAGTCTATGGAGAAAATGAATGGAGGTTTTACTGCGCTCTCTCCACAGCTCCTGTTGCCATAGAAGCAGTGTGTGCTTAAGGGTTGCACATGGTCACTGGCTGGTCCAGCCTGAATTATGAGCTTCATTTGAGCACAAGAACCAAAATTCATGGCTTAGCTCATGCATGTCAGTATTTGTAGTTGATTTTAAACATTTTAAAGCAGGGATGTCAAACTGCAGCCCTGCATAGTTTAGTTGCAACCCTGCTCCAATACACATACCTGTAGGTTTCCAACAAGCCTGAAGGACTTCTTTCGATCAGGTGCGTTTAATTAGTATTGGAACTAAACTGTGTTGAAAACAGAGTGGAGTTTGACACGCGTTTTAAAAAAGTATAGTTCACCCTAAAATAAAGATGTACCCACTATTTATTATTTACAAGTGGTTCCAAACCTTAATGAGTTTCTTTATTATGTTGAACATGAACAAATAGATTTAGACGAAAGCTGGAAGCTGGTAACCATCTATAGGAGAAACAAATACAAGTCAATGCTTATCGGTTTCAAAATATACTATGGTGTAGGTTAAAAGTACAATCTGAGAATGTATGCAAGCTTGTCACGGGGGTGATACCTTTTCATAAGGTACACATTTCTACTTGAAAGGTTCAAATTGGTACCTCAAAGATATATATTAGTACCAAAAAATGAATAGGAACACTTTTGTACTTTTTAGGTACTAATTGGTACCCTTGAGGTATTAATATGGACCTTTTAGGTACACATTTGTACCTTTTTGTAATGTACTACCCCTGTGAGAGCTCTCATACCTTTATTTCTGAGAGTGTATAAAGAAACGAGGGCTGTGCGATAAAATGGGTATCAATATTTATTACACTGAACACCGTTGTCAATATCAATAAAAAAAAAGATTCAGTATGTTGTTTCGGTATTAAGGCTATAGTTTTATTAAAATGTGGCTGCTGTGCGTGCACCTTGGAAGCAATGCCAATAAGCTTGGGGTGTAAGTTTGTCATTTCCAATGGAGGCGCGTGACTTGCATGACGCACGAATGTTGTGCAAGCAGTGCATATGTGACGTGTGCGCATTTTCCAGCCGCACCTACTTTAGAACTTTTCAAATGCCGCGAGCACAACGCAATACATGAAAGTAGAACTAAAAAATCTGCTTCACACTTTGTATGGAATATATACATTTCAATAATAACAGCAGACCAATTACCTCAGACAAACACAGCACATCCAAACACTGCAGCGCTTTACTTTTCTCCATAAACTTGTATCAGAGCTGCAGCAATGGTTTGTTCATTTGCCACCCTCTGAAAAAAAAACAGTTGATGTCAGGCCCGGATTGGCTAATCGGGAGGACCGGGAGAATTCCCAGTGGGCCAGTCCGTTTTTTGGCTACGAGGGCTGGTGTCTCTAGCTCCAGACTCTGTTGCTCTCACCAGTTGCATTTTTCATTCATTCATTTATTTATTTGACCATAGCCTCATTTTTTTATTCATTATTTTGCCGCAGCTCCGCTCTTATTTATCGTCTTGCAGCCTCGTGAGCAAGATGCAGCCTGCAGGTTAATGATGGTGCAACTCAGCTGAGTTACTACACTGAGAAAAGCTGTTGTGGTCCAGTGGTCAGCACGTTGCGTTACGATGTTACAACCTCATCTGAGTAAATTTATTTATTTTATTTTATAGTTAAAACATAATACTGTTAGGGTTGTTGAACATTTGAAGTTCTAAAGCAGCTGTTTTCTTGAAAAAGACGTGATAGTGCCATTAGAAACTGACCTTATTTTAATATAATCAGTCGTGAACTGAGGTGGGCCGGTCTAAGGCTTGAAACTCCAGGGCTGAAATGGAGTCCCACTCTGGCCCTGGTTGATGGTAGCCTAGTTACAGAATAATGGCAGCGGAGCGCATTGAAAATGGTGAAGGAAACCACACACTCGCACTTGTCACTTCAGGTCAGAATAACAACACAATCGAAAATGAGTGCCGTATAGCAGCAGTGAGGAGATTGTAAATATAAAGAGATGCAAGGATGTCACCAGAGTGGCTTTTTGGTTTCTTTTCTTGTGCATACCAGCCACCAGCTCCCCATCTGAAGGATTTTTTTTTTTTTTTTAGCATAGTGAAAATTGGTTATTCACAATTTGTAATGTTGCGGTGTGCATTTGAATAATGGTGGCTGGCTCCTTTACTTGAAAGCTCAGATTTAATTATCATAATTTGTGTTGTTGACAGAGTTTGAGGTTTACTGTTTCATTATTATCCACAGCTTAAAGTTTGCTTTGATTGTTCAGCGTTTCCACTTTACTATTGCGAACAATGTGAACATTTTGTTCAAGTTTAAGAGTCTCTAACAATTATGTTTGTTTTAATATAAAGAGATCAGATGTTTAATATAAATATGTTTGGTTTTGGCTTTTAAAACTACTAATGAATGTGTATGGATGTTTCCCACAGATGGGTTGCGGCTGGAAGGGCTTTCGCTGCGTAAAACCGGGACTGGATAAATTGGCAGTTCATTCCGCTGTGGCGATCCCGGATTAATAAAGGGACTAGGCCGCAATGAAAATTAATGAATGAATATTAAAATGCATTTGCCTCAATGTTGGTAAATTAAAATAAAGTGGTTTAAAAAATCCTAATATATCTAAATGTGTTGTTAAATTAGTCAATTAATTAAATATTCAATTTATACTAAACGATATGAAACATGATAAAAAAATTTTTTTGCAGTATCGCCCAGCCCTAAAAGAAACTTAAACCGGTTTGTAACAAGTGAACAGTGAGTAAATAATGGCATTTCAGTTGAGCAGTCCTTTTAAGTAGCCTAATATTTGAGATTGGCATCACAGTGGCGTAGTGAGTAGCACGATCACCTCACAGCAAGAAGGTCACTGGTTTGAGCCTCGGCTGGGTCAGGTGGCATTTCTGTGAGGAGTTTACATGTTCTCCCCGTGTTGGTGTGGGTTTCCTCTGGGTGCTCCGGTTTACCCCACAAGTCAAAAGACAGGTGAATTGCGTAAGCTAAATTGTGAATGAGTGTGCATGGTTGTTTCCCAGTGATGGGTTGCAGCTGGAAGGGCATTTGCTGTGTAAAAACATGCTGGATTAGTTGGCAGATTGTTAAACTGTGGCAACCCCAGATTAATAAAGAGACCAAGCTGAAAAGAAAATGAATGAATGAATATTTGAGACTTCAGATGAGCCCATTCAGAGACTTACACAAAATAGATTCCAGGAAGTGTTGCAAATTTGACCACCAAGTAAATAGACTTTCCTCGAAAGGGATACCAATTAACACAGAAATGGCAGATTTGTAGGTCCTGTAACCACCAGATGGTTGGTTATGCTAACAAAAACATGTTGCAGATTTTTCCTCACAGCTCGTTTTCAGTAAAAGTGCAAGTATTGAGTTCAACAAGAAGTCATGTTTCCATAGCATCGCTTTTATTCCTCATGAACGTGATTCCGCATGAATTCACATGCGTGTATTTTAATCTAATCTAATTTTAAACGTTGTTAGGGATTCACATAAATAATTATTCTGACCCCTGACATACTCCCGTGTGCTTATCAAGACCACACAGCAAAAAAACAACTGAATATAGCCTTTCACGTCGTGTAGATTAATGCATGTCGTTCGGTATAAATGAGGGAGGGTGGAAAGCGCGCACTCGATCGGCTGATCAGTAGCTCCATCTGCACGCAGCGCGAGAAGCTGCAGTCTGAGATCACCTCACTGATATTATCCCGCTCTAACTGAAAACACCAAAGGAATTCGAATGTCGCGTTCCAAAAATTCGTTCCCGTGACTTCAAATAGAGCTCTTTGAAGTTTGGAATGCGTCGTTCGATTTTTAAATCTTATTTTTGAATATCTTCCGGAGAACTAACGGTCATTTGTTATCCGGGGAGAACTGCCGGTGTCCTGACGCACAGACGGACACGCGCGCGAGCTTATCAGGAGGTGTCAAATAATACTGTCGTGTATTCCAACTCGGATTTCGCACTCGCTCGCACACTTTTGAGGTAATATTATGGTGGTCGATGGAAGTATGTGAAGCTGTCATATTCCAGGAATGGATCTCCAGAGGTGTCCCATAACTACAGGTAAATCACTGAAGTGAAAGACCCATCAATACTCGTCTTTCACGACATTTTAATTACCTTGTCAGCTCTCTTATTTGTGATTATTTTAACTTTTTAACGTGTAAACCAACAGTAAATGCGTGTATTTATACGTATTGGGTTATTAATAGCATGTTTAGGGTAAATAGTTGGCAGATGATGTCAAAAATAGATTTTTTTCTCAAAATTCTTGGTATAAAATAATTGCTATAATAATCATAATATTAATATGTAATAGTAATACAAATAATTATACTAATCATTAATAATTTGTTCATTTAGACATGCCGTTTACAAGCTGGAAATCCTAAAGTATGGCTACTGTGAAATAAATAAATTATTAATAATTAAAAGACCACTAGGCAATTCTGACCTTAATTTCGTTTTTGGTAAACTAATGTTGTCATTTATAGATTTTAAATTAGTTTTTGGCAATAAATAGTAAAAGAAGCTATGTTATGAGATGTCCATTCATTTTCAGACAGCACAATATTAATGTCCCAACTTCAGAATGGTTAAATTAATATTTGCTGCATAGAATAACTCTGATTTATGCTGTACTTTAAGAATTCCAGCTTGTAAATGACATGTCCTAATGAACAAATTATTGATGATTAGTATTATATTATAAGTATTACGATTATTATAGCAACAACAATCCTGATCAATTGTTGCTACATAAAAAAAATCAAATTAACAACTACTTTCTATTTATCTATTATTATTATTATTATTAATTGTTTTTTTTGCAATAGCTCTTCTGAGATTTATTTTTATTTTTGCATTAAATGGTAAATTTAAAGTATTTGCTGCAGGAAATAACCCTGTTTTTTTTTTTTTTTTTTTTAAATCACAGGAACTAAACGCATCCATTTCCATTTAGTATTAAATTAATTTATTATATTTTTCACAATAGTTGTACTTTAGGATTTCTAGCTTGTAAATGACATGTCCAAATGAACAAATTATCGATGATTAGTATTAGGTGTATTCCATAATATGGTTATTATAGCAACAACAACCCAGACCAATTGTTATGTTACTTAAAGCAAATTACCAACTGTTTTATAGTTATTTATTATTAATTTATCATTTTTTTCACAACAGCTGTACTTTGAGATTTTCTATTTATTTATATTTTTGCATTAAATAAAAAAAAGATGCCATGTTCTGAGACATATATACATTTTCAGACAGCACAATACCAATGTCCTAACTTCAGAACAGTTAATAAATATTTACTGCATGAAATAACCCAGATTTTTTTAATCACAGCAAATTAACATCCATTTCTATTTAGTATTAAATTTATTTATATATATATATATATATATATATATATATATATATATATATATATATATATATATATATATGTATTTATATATAAAAAAAAAATGTATGTATGAAATTGATATATATATATATATTTATATATAGATTGT